AAAAAAAAAAAAAAAAAAAAAAAAAAAAAAAAAAAAAAAAAAAAAGGAAAAAAAATGTGACGTAGGGCTGAGCCCTACTTGATGCTTGCACGTGATATATACAACCTGCACCAGCTGCGTTTGGTCTTGAGCTTCATAGGATATATGAGGTACTTGTTGCAGAGCAGAAGGTGTTACTGCAAAGTATTTCAGCAGTTACAGAGTTGTGAGCAGTTAGCTTGCTATAATCTGAGACCAAGTCATTTATGTGCAGTGAATTTGAGTTCTCTGAGTATATTGTTTCCGCCTCTACTTTGCTTTACAAAGAACCAACAGAGCCTCCACTGCGATATGTGTAGGGCCATTGTAGCAGAGATTTGATTTTCCACTTTCGTACAATTTCATTCATCACAATTTTTTAAACAAAATTTGGCTGCAAAATTGAATGAAAAAAAAAAAAAAAAAAAAAGAATCCAATTCCTGCCAGTGGATCTTCTCCCTGCCATGTCCCATTACAAAACTGATTATTTGATATTACACAAAGTAGCTACTTACAACCATTTCTAAATAAAATCACAACTCCATCTCTTCCGCGCCAAAGGGAGCATGACTGTCCATGTCTTCGTCGCTGTCAATCGCATTATCGCTTAATCCTTCATTGTGTTGCTCGCGTAGAGCTGCCAAGCTAGTACCCGACCCACCGCCAATAATACCGCCGATCGCGGACGACCTTTGTGGGGGTATAACTGGTTGACTGTTTCTATCGTATTCGTCTTCTTCGTCCTCGAAATCAACATCGAAAAAGTCATCAGTGGTTCCTGTTACCCTTTGGTATATAGACTTGACATCCGTTATAACTCCGTCATATGACAACTCAGCACTTGGGGTGTTTGTGAAAAATATTTGATTTTGTGCGTCTGGTGTATCTCTGAGGACGATGTTGTTCTCCGCGCTTGGCTTGAAAATGTTTGACAAGTCATTCGCAATGTACGTTTTCTCAACATACCCCACTTTGCAAACAACCTCCAATTTTTCTTGTGGATAGAAGTTTTGCAAGTGCGATCCTAATTTGAAAGAATTGGCCAACACAGGAGTTCCATCTTGGCTAACGACAAAGTCAGTTTCATCGAGAATCTCGTCTATATCATTCGATGATTCCCTTAATAACGAAGACTCCATTTTCGAGTAGGCCGACTCCAAGTCTCTCTTGGCTCGACTCAAGTCTTGTTCAACAGTTTGACTAAACCATATGGACTGACCCTCAGGGCAAACACCGGAATTACCATTTTGTATCATAACTTGTACTGAGTATTCATTTTCCGTGGGTAACGAGTGGGGAGGGAATACAACAATGGCCAGGGATTCATTATGTGAAATCCATTCTTTGCAATCACGGCGTACAACGGTGACCAATCGAGTTACAAAATGAGGCTGCAACCCTTCAGTAACTTCGTTATAAGTGGATTGCAAAAACTTGGGCAACTGCGTGGGTGAAATAACAACCTTTTCGTTGATCTTAATATGTGATCCATCGTCGAAATGGGCTATTTTGGACACGGGATCGAAATCAACCAAGCTCGTGTTCAATTTATAAGTTGTACCTGCAACTGCTGCACTGCGACAAAATCCTTGTGCTAATTCACCAGGGCCCCCATATTTTGATACCATGCAAGGAAATTTACCATAAACGTCAAATGACGACAAAAACCTTTTGATCTTTATGAGTGCCTCCTTTGTGTTGATGTCTTCCTTGTAACTCAATCCAATGGAAAACACCAACTCATTTATTTGCGGGTCCTCGAGCTTGAATTCTTCTTTCAAGAATTTTTGAATCGGTTCATTCGCATATGGCTTCACTTTTTGTTTGAAATCCGTGTCCAACAAGATAAACTTTAAAAATTTCATCAAGTACCTCTTTGTGATGAGGGACAACGACTTGTCTGTGAAAATGTCCTGCTTTGTTGTAGCATTCACCTTTTGTTGAAAGTCATCGTTTTCAAACACATGAAAGTTGGATAAGGATTGGAACTCCAAGTAACGGTAAACACGTGACTTCACTAACAAAGTCAACAAATCCGACTGACAAAACATAATCTTTGGCGTCAAGTCAATGCCATAGTCCTTTGAATTGAATTGGTTGCTTAATTTTCCCCCTGGTATATAGATCTGGGCATCCTGAAAGTGTGGGATCTTACCTTGGTTAACATCAGCACACCATTTTTTCAATTGTTCAATGGTCATGGTCGAGCTTGAGTCACCGTAGTACGGCTTGTTGTCAATGTGGAGCACCTGCGTACCTTGCCAAGATAACGCGGCGGCCAAAATACTCTCCTGGAGTCCGGTTCCTACAACTAAAACATCGCACTTGTCGATTTTGAGAAACTGGTCCTGTGGCTTCTCCAACCCGGCCAAGTGAGGAATGACTGGCGGGGTGTACGTAGTGCTAGGTCTGCGCTCGGCCATTGATTTTCTTCTTTCCGTTCTGCTGTAGTTCATTGTGGTAGGGACGGTTGTGTAGTAGATCTATGAATATTGTCTTTTGAGGCGGGTATCAGGTCATGTACCCGTGTAAATGAGTAGCTGTAATTTATTTCAGAGTGTTAATCCCTCTCAAAGAAAGTGAGTGCAGTCTTGGCGTTTCCGAATGGATATATGGTTGTCTGTAACGGTTTGACGTATAAATCGTGAGAATGTAGTTGTAGAAAGTGTGACGAAACACAACTTGACTCGACTCTTTCTTCTTTTCTTTTCTTTTCTGTTGTTTGTCCTCTCTGACTTCGGGTAATTTTGTTGATAAATAAAAAAAAATAAAAAAAATAAAAAAAAAAAAAAAAAAAAAAAAATTTTTTTTTTGCGTATGAAAGGTTAATTTTATTTTACATTTTTTTTTTTTTATTGTTAATTAAATGCGTCAACACGTTGCATGGGGCAAAATGACGGAAAGAAAGGGTTCACTACTTTTGGCGTGGCAAGTCAAAGACAAACATTGTCTTGTGGTTGGAGCGGGTGAGGTTGCCCTTTCTAGAATACATCACTTGCTCATAGCTCAGGCTAAAGTAACTGTGGTCACTGGTATCACCAAAGATGTGCATCCCGAGATTCTCGCTCTACACACACAAGGTAGGCTCCACAACTTGGTTTTACGAAATTACGAAAGCGAGGATTTGAGAATGTACGAGGTGGGATCTTTGGAGTTGGACTATACCAAGATTTCCCCTCAAGATTACGAAGAGATTGCGAATATTGCGAATGAGTCATTTGCTTGTGTGTGCTGTTGCATCGACGACTACGATTTGAGTACCAAGATATACTATCAGTGCAAGGCGCTTCGGTTGCCTGTTAACATAGCAGACAAACCTCCGTTATGTGACTTTTATTTCGGAAGCATGATCAACAAGGACAATTTGCAGATTATGATCAGCACAAATGGGAAATCTCCTAGACTATCGAAACTTATAAAAGACAATATTGCTAAACAGTTTGAAGGGGTCGATGTTAACAACGCTATTGATAATTTGGGGTTGATTAGATCGAGGCTACGAGAATTGATCTTGATAGATGACGATTTGGTCACTATTGACACGCGAATGAATTGGATTAAGACATTAACTGATTTTTTCACTATTAAGCAATGGAGCACCATCAAGCTTATCCCAGATGAGGCAAGTGGGGAGCAAACAAAAGTGGACAAGATTGTCAACTGTTTCCCAAAGTACCCTCCGCGCGACTTTGACGAATTTGTTAATTTCATAAGTACATAGCTAAATATCTTCATGAACAAATAGCTTTTCACCACCTCCTCCAACGTATTCACCGACTATATGACCATCACCTTTTAGCTGGTATTGATAGCTCATCAACCCTTCTAATCCAACAGGGCCCCTTGCATGGATTTTGTTTGTGCTGATTCCAACTTCAGTTCCAAAGCCGTATCTAAAACCGTCAGCAAATCTGGTCGATGCGTTCCAATAAATACCAGCAGAATCAATGCTCTTGAGAAACAAGTTTGCTATCTCTTCATCCTCAGTTATGATAGATTCTGTGTGTTTTGAAGAGTGCTGGTTTATATGATCAATAGCAGCCTTGACATCGTCGACATATTTCACCGATATATCTAACGAGAGGTACTCCCTGTCAAAGGAACTGTCATCGGCATCAACAATGTAGTCACGATTCAATCCTGAAATTACTCGCTTCAATTCAGGTGTTACATGAACCGTCACTTTTTCGTCGATCAAGGAATTGATAATCTCCTTGACTTCATCTTCTGCAATACTCTTGTTGAGCAATAGTTGCTCTACAGCATTGCAGCCTGCAGGATAGTTTGTTTTGGAATCAACTACTATTCTTTTAGCTTTTTCCAAATCGAATTTCGAGTCGATGTAGATGGAACATATACCGTCAGCGTGGCCCAATACTGGAATCTTTGTATTTGATTTTATATTGCGCACAAGCTCATTCGAACCTCTAGGAATGACCAAATCAATGTATTTATCTTGGTCCAATAAATCTGCAACATCCTCTCTGCTTTCGATTAGCTGAATAGCTTTCGAGGGAACTTTCGTGTGCGATAATGCCTCGCTGACAATATTACTCATCACCTTGAATGTTTGGTAGGATTCCTTCCCTCCTTTTAATATGGCAGCATTACCGGATTTTATAGCCAATGCCGTAATATTTGCAATCACCTCAGGTCTGCTTTCGAAAATGATCAACAAAACACCAATGGGCGCAGTGACTCTATACAAATTCAATCCCTCGTCGATCTTCTTAGCCAAAGTCACTTTCCCCACCGGGTCAGGCAAGTTGGCAACGTCCAATATACCTTGAAGCATGGAGTCAAATTTCCCAGGGTTTCCTAAATCCAATCTCTTAATCAAGGACGATGAAAGGTTCTTGGATCTGGCATTTTCCAAGTCTACCTTATTAGCTTCAAGGATAGACGATTTATTATCTTTCAAAGATTTGTAGATATTCTCCAACGCTTGTGATCTTTCGGAATTTGTAAGCACTTTGAGCTCTGCAAAAGCAGAGTTGGCCTCTTTAGCTATCGATTCACCAGACATGATAGAGCTGGCATACAAAATGCTTGTGGTTTTGGAAAAAAAAAAGAAAAGAAAAAAACAAAACTGGGTGCCTGAAAAATTTAGTCATAGAGCGCTATCGATGATCACCCACCTACCATGTTCGTTGGGATTAATGCAAGATGGTAATATAAACCTTCTTCACCGTATCTTTGGAGTTCCTTTTCTTGTCATTACATATTTCACTACAACTGCTCTCGATAGCTCCAAACCCTGGTAGGCTTTTCTCCGTAAATGTAACTGTGAACACAGGGCAGACTCAGCCAACTTTTCGTGTTTTGATTTTTGAACAACGCGCACAGCATTTAAAAAATCTCCAACCAAAGGTCTATTGTTCACCAAAGTCTTTAACAACTACGTCGTTTGAAAAGCACCAACATCAAATCGTTTATGTCTAACCTGAAAAATTCTGCAAGATTGCAGAAGAATGCCAACCCATTCTCAGATGACGACGAGAATGACTTGATAGATCTTGATTTGACAAACCCTTATGAGGACTACGATCCGCAGCACGAATATCCTCGGGTGCTGAGCTCAAATCAGAGAGGAGAAGCATCGAACCCTTTCAACGACCAATTTGTGATATCTGACGATGAGGATGGGGAAGAGGACTACATACCCAATGGGAGGCCAGTGAACTCTGCAAAGAAGCATAGCTCGCATCCAATCACACGGAACGATTCACACCCAACTAGCGATTTTATAGGAAGAGACACTTCAGAGTATGTGAACTTGAATAGAGAACAGCCCAAGGACTTTGATATAAGACACATTTTTCAAAGATTCAAAAGTAAGATTACGGGACAAAGTCTGCCCGTTGGTGGTGGTGGTGGTGGTGGTGGTGGCTCGAGATCGAAGGAACCTAGGGAGATACTTATAATGGACCACGCCGCTAACTCCGGACAAGGATACTATGGAAATCACATTTCAACAACAAAGTACAACTTTGCAACATTTTTGCCGAAGTTCTTATTCGAACAATTCAGCAAATATGCCAACTTGTTTTTCTTGTTCACATCAATAATTCAACAAGTGCCACACGTCTCGCCTACGAATCGGTACACAACTATCGGAACTTTGATCGTGGTGTTGTTTGTGTCTGCTATAAAGGAAATTCTGGAGGATTTAAAACGAGCCAATGCTGATAAGGAGCTAAATAATACGCGAGTCTTGGTCCTTGATCCAGTTTCCGGTGATTTCGTCTTGAAAAAGTGGGTTAAAGTTGAGGTTGGTGATATAGTCAGGGTGAATAACGAAGAGCCATTTCCTGCAGATTTGATCTTAATCAGTTCTTCCGAGCCAGAGGGGCTTTGTTACATTGAAACTGCCAATCTAGATGGAGAAACCAACTTAAAAATTAAACAATCAAGAGCGGAAACTGCTCACTTGAAAAGCGCCGGCGATGTAATACGAGGATTTTCAAATGCCAAGGTGCTATCTGAACAGCCAAATTCATCTTTGTATACGTACGAAGGGATTCTAAAGGGCTTTGAGAATGGTAGGGATATCCCCTTGTCTCCTGAACAGCTATTACTAAGAGGAGCCACGTTGCGTAATACGCAGTGGGCCCACGGTATTGTCATATTCACCGGTCATGAAACGAAACTCATGAGGAATGCTACTGCAACACCAATAAAACGGACCGATGTGGAGCGGATAATCAATCTTCAAATTATTGCTTTGTTTTGTGTTTTGATTGTACTTGCGTTGGTATCATCTATAGGAAATGTTATCAAAACAAAGGCTAACAGTGGTGATTTAGGTTATTTGCATTTAGAAGGAACTTCGTTGGCTTTACTTTTTTTTCAAGATTTGTTGACCTTTTGGATATTGTTTTCCAACTTAGTACCTATATCGTTATTCGTCACGGTGGAGTTGATAAAGTACTATCAGGCATTTATGATTGGAAGTGATTTGGACATGTATTATGAGGAGACCGATACTCCAACCGGTGTTAGAACCTCTTCTCTCGTTGAGGAGTTGGGTCAGATCAATTACATATTTAGCGACAAAACCGGTACCTTGACGCGAAATGTGATGGAGTTCAAAGCCTGTTCTATTGGTGGGAGGTGTTATATCGAAGAGATTCCTGAAGATGGACATGCACAAATCATCGATGGCATTGAAATTGGGTACCATACATTTGACACGTTACGCTCAGACTTTACAAACAGTTCTTCCCAACAATCTGCAATTATAAACGAATTTCTCACCTTGCTAAGCACATGTCACACGGTAATCCCTGAAGTTGATGGCGCCAATATCAAATACCAAGCAGCGTCTCCAGATGAGGGTGCTTTGGTGCAAGGCGCTGCTGACTTGGGATTTAAGTTCATTGTACGTCGGCCAAAGACTGTAACCGTTGAGAACACCCTCACTCAGATGAAGTCCGAATATGAGCTCTTGAATATTTGCGAATTCAACTCCACGCGAAAGAGAATGTCTGCCATATTTCGCTGTCCAGACGGGGTTATTAGATTGTTTTGTAAAGGTGCCGATACCGTTATATTGGAAAGACTTTCCAAAAATGAACCGCAACCTTTTGTTGACGCCACTTTGAGACATTTGGAGGAATTTGCTGCTGAAGGGTTGAGGACGCTTTGTATTGCATCGCGAATAGTTTCGGAAGAAGAGTACCAGCAATGGAGTAAGAAATACTACGATGCCTCTACTTCGTTGCATGATCGTGGTGACAAAATGGATGCTGTTGCTGAGCTTATTGAGACTGACCTATTCCTTCTAGGCGCGACTGCCATTGAGGATAAATTGCAAGATGGTGTGCCAGAAACTATACAAACGCTTCAGGATGCAGGTATCAAAATCTGGATTCTAACTGGTGATAGGCAGGAAACAGCTATAAATATTGGAATGTCTTGTAAATTGCTAAGTGAGGACATGAATTTGTTGGTTGTCAATGAGGAAAACAAGACCAATACAAGACTAAATCTACAGGAAAAATTAACTGCAATTCAAGAGCACCAATTTGACGGCGAAGACGAGTCTTTGGAGTCTTCCTTGGCTTTGATTATCGATGGACACTCGTTGGCATTTGCTTTGGAGCCCGATTTGGAAGATTTGTTTATTGAGTTGGGCTCTCGATGCAAGGCAGTTATCTGTTGCCGTGTATCCCCATTACAAAAAGCACTTGTCGTTAAGATGGTAAAGAGAAAAAAGAAACAGTCCTTGCTTCTTGCCATTGGAGATGGTGCTAACGATGTTTCTATGATCCAAGCCGCACATGTTGGTGTGGGAATAAGTGGGATGGAAGGTATGCAAGCTGCGAGAAGTGCGGATGTCTCCATAGGCCAATTCAAGTATTTGAAAAAGTTGCTTTTGGTTCATGGATCTTGGTCTTATCAGCGTATTTCAAATGCCATTCTTTACTCCTTCTACAAAAACATCGCCTTGTACATGACGCAATTTTGGTATGTTTTTGCCAATGCATTTTCAGGTCAATCGATTGCTGAATCGTGGACTTTAACGTTTTACAACGTTCTTTTCACTGTGCTTCCCCCAATTGTCATGGGAGTTTTTGATCAATTTGTTAGTGCAAGACAGTTGGTTAGGTATCCACAATTGTATCAGTTGGGACAGCAGCGCAAATTTTTCAATGTTGCTATTTTCTGGGGTTGGATTTTGAATGGATTCTATCACTCTGCTGTTATATTTCTTTGTTCGTTCTTTATTTACAGATACGGAAACGTCATGTCCAATGGTTTGACAACCGATAACTGGGCCTGGGGAGTTGCAGTATACACCACATGTACCTTGACTGCTTTAGGGAAAGCTGCGTTGGTGGTGACTTTGTGGACAAAGTTTACGTTAATTGCAATTCCGGGCTCCTTTCTATTGTGGCTAGCTTGGTTTCCTGCTTACGCGACAATTGCGCCTTTGATCAATGTTTCCGACGAGTATAGGGGAGTATTGGCAGCAACTTACCCACTACTCATGTTTTGGGGAATGGTCTTTGGTGTTCCCGTCTTGTGTTTGTTGAGAGACCTTGCGTGGAAGTTTTACAAGAGGCAAACCAATCCCGAGACTTATCATTATGTGCAAGAGATTCAAAAGTACAACATACAAGATCATAGACCGCGTGTGGAGCAATTTCAAAAAGCCATCAGAAAGGTCCGTCAAGTGCAAAGGATCAAGAAGCAAAGAGGATTCGCTTTTTCCCTGGCTGAGGGCAATGATCAGGAGAAGTTGATGCGGTTGTATGATACATCGAAGCTGAGGCCTGTGTGAAAGTACGATGAGATCTAGGTAGCAGTGTATAGGTAGAACTAATAGAAGAAGAAGAAGAATAAAAAAAAAAAACAAAAAAAAAAACAAGAAAAATGAAAAAAAAAAAAAAAATGAAAATAAAACCGATCCTTGATTGATATCTATAATTGTATAGACGGAAATGGCAGACACACCAGTGCCGGCAACCCCTGTAGAGTCTGCCGAAGGGAAGAAACTTTCCAACAAGGAACTCAAGGAATTGAAAAAGAAGGAAAAAGCCGCTAAGAGAGCAGCGCAGAAGGAGAAAAATGGTATCACAGTGGAGCAACAACGACAACTAGCGGATGAGAAAAAGAAGGTGTCTCAGTCTGCCAACACAGCTTCGAATTTGAAAAAACAATTGAACCAGACTCTTATTACCACGGATAAGAAAGTTCCACACTTGTTTGGCCACTTGGAAACTCGTGAGCAGCGGAATGCATCGTCGCCAGCAATTTCCCATATTGTACATCCAGCCATCATCGCCTTGACTTTGAAGTTTTCCAGTTATAGTGTTGTCGGATCACTGTCAAGATTAGTGCATATGCTCCGCGTGTTTAAGGAGGTTATTGAGGATTACAAAACACCTGAAAATACAACCTTAACCAGACACTTGACAGGTCACTTGTCGCATCAGATTGAATACCTCAAGTCTGGGAGGCCATTGTCCGTGTCAATGGGAAATGCCATTAGGTGGTTGAAGCAAGAGATTTCTCATATTTCCATAGACATGTCTGAGTTGCAAGCAAAAGAATTACTTTGTCAAAAAATTGACGATTTTTTGAGAGAAAAGGTGGAGCTTTCAGACCAATTGATTGTTGAGAGTGCCTCGAAACACATCACTGATGGAGCTACAATACTCACCTACGGTCATTCTCAAGTATTGGAGGATCTTTTTAAGTTTTGTGCTCTGGAGCAAGGTAAAAAATTCAATTTGGTGATAGTCGACTCGAGACCCTTGTTTGAAGGGAAAAAGTTGCTTCAGCGTTTGCTGAAGACGACATGTGCTGATATTTCCGGTGGGGATATTCCAATAACTCAGAGGTTTATCACCGTTCAGTATGTTTTGCTCAACGCTTTGTCGTCCACGCTATTGGACGATGTTGATTGTGTATTCTTGGGTGCTCATGCAATGCTTTCGAATGGACGGTTATTTTCAAGAGTTGGTACAGCAATGATTGCAATGATGTGCCACACGAGGAATATTCCAGTGTTGGCATGTTGTGAATCGGTAAAGTTTTCAGACAAAGTGCAATTGGATTCGGTTACGAATAACGAGTTAGCAGATCCTGATGATTTGATAGCCAAAGATAGCAGAAACCCGCCCCAGAAGAAAAGTTTTGCCTTGGAGCAGTTTGTGAAACTGGCACATTCCGGGAAGGATAAGAAGGAAGTGGTTAAAGAGAATGAAGATGGTCCCTTGCAAAGTTGGAAAACCCTTCCAGCATTGAACATTTTGAATATAATGTATGATTTAACGCCCCCGGAGTATATAAATAAAGTGATTACTGAACTCGGCGCCTTGCCACCGTCGTCAGTGCCTGTCATTTTACGAGAATACAAAAGTACATAGATTTTTATATTCGCGTAAACAAAACAAAAAAAAAAAAAAAAACAAAAAGAACTGCGAAAAACCGTTGCGATAATTATCTTTTTGCCACCCCTCGACGACACCTATCAAATGACTGAGCAAGAGATCTCGTTATTGAACAAGGTGGAGCTACGAATTGCTTTAGCTGAAGGTGACAAGCAATTGGAAAATGCGCTAAAGATCTATCTCCCACCTGTTTTGTTGAAGCTCGCGAGCCCTAATGCACAAGTACGACAATTAGTCTTCAAGATTATCCAGCATGTAATTCCTCGAATAACTGCGGCAAGAAACCTTCGCTTACCGGTGGAAGCATTGATTGAACAAGTTAAGAGTCCTAACGTGGATCCCGGACTGGACTCGACGTCTGTGAGATTATACTCGGCATTGTTTGTTTCCAAGGGGATTGACAGGATGGGGGATGAAGAGAAAACGACACTAGTTCGTCCTGTGGTTGAAAAATTGTCAGATCTACCGGAATCTATAGCGGCCCGAATGTTTGGAATTTTGTGCAAATTACTCAAGACTTGGAAAGCCCCGTATCCGGATTCCGACGAGTTTGAAGCGCAAAGACAAATATTTGTTGCAGATGGGAAGAATGAACGGTATATTGCTTTCAAGGTAGCTAAATTTTTATTGCTTAATATGGAATCCACTACCAAAGGGACAATCGGTTTAAGTAGTCAGGATATCAAATATTTCACGACTGATGCTGGAGTGGCTTTTCAAAATAGTCAAGAACTAGCTACAACGAAATTGTCGTTGCTTGAATTTTTAAAGTCCGGATTCACTAATGGCCAGCTCGTCTTTCCACTTTTAATTGCTTCTGCAGATCTGGTTACGGCTATCGGAGAAGCATCGGGGAAGTTTCTTAAGACGTTGGATGTAAATGTGGACGAAATTGGACTTTATGGCGACATAAATTTGATAGATTTTCTTGTTGCGATGTTTTTGGAAACAAACAGGATAACGCCTTATGATTGGAATTTGCGACTTGTGATTATGCAGCTTTTGTTGAAAACTGAATCCATTGAGAAGCACAAGCAAGTGATAGACGTGTGCAAGATTGGATTGAAATCCCCATCGCTAAAAGTGAGAAAGCTTGTTACTACTCTTGTTGACCGTCTCTTGAAAGCAAATAAGAACAAATCTGGTTTTGAGGAGTTTGCTGTGAGCATCGCAGCTGACCTTCGTTCCAGTCTTGCGAACGAGGCATTGTCAAATGAAGGCTCTACTTTGTACAATTCCACCTTATATGCAGAAAAACGGTCCAAGTATGAGACATTGGGAAGTGTATTGCATTCGGCGCCGACTATATTTATCAATGACTGGTCCTACATCTCTTTCTTACTTGATGCAATGGAGAATGAGGATTCTGAAGTGAAAGTCTCCATACAAAACGTTTTATCTGGGTTGTCTAGTCATTTGAGTGAAATAAGCGATTCTAATAAACTAGCTTTACGAGAGATGGCGCAAAACTACTTTTTAAAGTCTTCAAACTTTGGTATGGGAAAATACATTCTTTTGAAGTATATGATTTTGGCGTTTCCTTTTAACGACTCCTTTGCACGAATGTTATCGATTGTTGCCACTGGGAAAGCAAACAGTCCTGAGATTGTGGAAGAATCAAACAAGGGTTTACATCCATATTGGTTTAATCTTTCGCACGCAAACAATGCCAAAGGATTTGAGTCGACGTCTTTTTTATTGGGGAATGAGACAAATGTTACATTTCCAGATTTTGCTGACTTTGTGGGTACTATCGTGACTGAGCTAAAGAATGACCACTCCCCATTGTATGAAACGCTTCCCAGGGCGATTGAATTTGCCATGCAAATATTTGTGATGGAGGCTTTGGGTAGTAACAAAACTGTTATTGCTTTGGATGAAAACTGGTCAGTGCGTTTGGACAAGGCATTGGAGTCAAATGATAGAGTAAGGACTCTAGTGGTTTCAAAAATGAGAGATGACAACTCCAGAGAAGCCATGAGTGCACTTTTATCCATCTGTTTCGAGGCTCTTGCAGGACAATTCAGAAGCGATTCCAGTATCATCCGTAGCACTTTTTACGGAACGTCAATTGCTCGTTTGCTCAGTTTTGCTTCCTCTGAGGTAGCTGCATCTCTTTTGGGAAGAATAGATGAGTTGGTTTCTTTACTTCGTCAAAATGTCTTACCAGATCCTTCGGTAAGTGAAGTTTGCAAAATTTTGGGTATTCTAGGAAGTCATCCATCAGTCAACGAGCAAAGGGTTGCAGCACTTTTGAATTCTGTGGATGCTGTGAAGAATCAGTCTGTTGCTGCGTTATCACAATGCTATATCATTTCAAGGCTAGCCGCAAGAGGAAGGCGCGAATTGATCACGTTTCTGCTCATAGAGAAGTTGCTTCAGAGTGTCATTGAGTTGTCGAAGCACCAATCTACGTATCCTATTTCCATGGAGCTGATAACCCAATTGGCAATGTTTGGTGTCATCAAAGAGTCATTGTTGCGCAGTGTTGAACCACACATCGACGAAATTAAATCAGCTGTTCGAGTAAAGCTGAAAAAGTTTGATGAAAAAAGTGTATTAACATTGGGATATCTCACCTTGTTGGAACAACAAGACTCATCGGATGAGTTGACTGTAGATGAACAAATGATCTACGAATTTCACAACTCAAAAGAAATCGAGTCGATTTTTGCGTCTGCAGAAGCCTTTGTCATTGCATCAGCAGGTTGGGAGTCCAAGCTCTTGCAGCACAAACTTGACATCCCCGAGGTTGATACGCAAGAGTTGCCGAGAAACACTTTGAGGCTACGTGTTATTTTGAATGCCATTGTTTCCGCTTGCAAAAATACCAAACCATCGTTGAGGCGTGCAGGTTGTATCTGGCTCTTATCCCAAGTGCAACATTGTGGTCACTTGGATGAAATTAAGCTGAGATCTTCCGAATTGCATTCCTGCTTTATGAGGTTTTTAGCCGACAAGGATGACATAGTTCAAGATTCTGCTTCAAGAGGTTTGGCTTTGTTGTATGAATCGGGAGATGCCGAATTCAAGGAGTTGTCTGTCAAGTCTTTGCTAAAGTCCTTCACTCAATCTGATGCATCATCATACACTGCAGGAAGTATCCAGAATGATACCGCTTTGTTTGAGCCTGATGTTTTGAAAACTCATGATGGGTCTGTCTCCACGTACAAGGATGTATTGAACTTAGCGCAGGATGCAGGTGACCCGAGTCTTGTTTACAAGTTCATGTCTTTGACAAAATCGTCGGCATTGTGGTCATCACGCCGAGGAATCGCTTATGGTTTGGAATCTATTTTATCGCAATCCTCTTTGGACCAGATGCTATCTAGCAACCCAAATTTCACCCAAAGGCTCATTCCTAAACTTTATCGGTATAGGTACGATCCTTTCACCAGTGTTTCGCAATCCATGGAGTCTATTTGGACTGCATTGGTTCGCGACCCAAACCGTATAATCAAGGACAACTTTGATCTGATTTTGAGTGAATTGTTGGCTGGTATGGGACAAAAAGAGTGGAGAGTGCGGCAAGCGAGTGCAACTGCTATGAGCGATCTATTGCAAGTTGTTGATTTGGATCGTTACGAATCAAGAATAGAGGAAATTTGGACAATGAGTTTCCGAGTGATGGATGATATAAAAGAAAGTGTGCGAAAGGAAGGGTTGAAGTTGACAAAGTCTTTGGTTTCAATTTTGACAAGGGCCTTGGAAAGGGAAACAAGCAATGACAGTCAGGCAATTTTAGGCCGGTTGATACTGCTTTTGATGGGAAATAAAGGAATTCTTGCTGATTCCCAAGACATCAAAGACTTTTCAATCAAGACTTTGTTGAAACTTTGCAAGACAAGGAGTAAAGCTTTGAAGCCGTATATTGCTGACTTGATTGAAAATTTCATCAATCTTTTCTCCACCTTGGAGCCTGAAGTTGTAAATTATTTGGCACTAAATGCAGGTAACTTCAACATCGACAACCAAGAGTTTGATGCAAAGCGATTGCAGAATGTGGGAAAATCTCTGTTGATGGATGCCATTGAATTTTTATTGAGTCAACTTGACGAGAAGGCAATGCCGCGGTTTTTGGTGAAGATAGAACAAAGTGTAAAGTACAGTGTTGGGTTGCCATCGAAAGTAAGTGGGTCAAAGGTATTGATCACGTTAGTGATGAATTACCATTCGCTTATGAAACCATATAGTGCCAAGCTTTTGGAAATTGCGTCAAGTCAAATCAGAGACAGGAATAATACTGTGGCGTCTTGTTACGCTGCTGCTGCAGGTTACATATGTCGTATATGTCCTGTGGATGCACTTATTGGTTACTCGGAAAAGATTACCAAGATGTATTTTGAACCCAAGGAAAGCGGAGATGAAAGGTCGAGGATTTTAGCTTCCAACGCAAGTAACTGTGTTTCGAAATATTCTGGAGACCAATTCAGCGTGGTTGCGTCCGCATTCCTACCTTTGGCTTTCATTGGTCAATTTGACAGTCTAGAGCCGGTGAAGCGAAACTTCGAAATGGAATGGACAGAACATACTGCTGGTGATTCGGCTATCAAGTTGTACTCCACTGAAATTCTTGATTTTGTAAAGAAGTACTTGAAGTCTAACGAGTTTTCTACAAGGGCTACATTGGGACGAGCCATGTGTCATCTTTGCGCTTCATTAGGTGATTCGGGTCACTTTTCCGACAGCACGGTTGAGAATTTGATTCAATTGTTGGTTGATTGTAACAAGGGTAAGTCATGGGAAGGTAAAGAGTATGTGTTTGGTGCTTTGGTTGAATTTTCCATCTTGAGTAAAAAGTACTTGTTGGAACATCATGAATTACTCCATTTGGTTGAAAAGACGATTGGAACGGAGATTAGAAGAAGAAACAAGAGATATCAGAGATTGGCAGTACAAACGGCTGGGAAATTCATTCATGAGATTCATAATCAAGAGCTTGTCGAGGTTTATATTGAAGTCATGAATGATATTTTGCAACGTGAAACTAAAGGTAAAGACGATGACAGTGATGAGGAAATGGTTGATGTGGAACGAGGAAGCAGGGCAGATTCGGTGAAAGAAGAGAGGATATTGCAATTGTTTCATAATTTTGGGGTTGCAGTTTATGCAGAGCCGGCTGGTGATTTCAGATTACCTCAGTTTGTATTTGAGCAGATGAGACATCTTTTCCAATCTGGAGTGCCCATTACATGGAGGTCGAAAATCAAGATCAGTGAATTGTTTAGAAAGCTTATTAGGACCTTGCCGAGTAGCAACGGAATAGAGCCAGATGTGATGGACACTTGGAAAGTTTTGAAGGGTCAGTGTTTGTATGTGGATGCCTTGGAGGGGGTAAAGTTGGAGTTTATTCGGTTATCTAAAGAGTTGTTGCTGTTTTTGACAGAGACGGATAACAAGAGACATGTGGAACTGGCATTGCGTGAATTTTCCAGTGTAGAGAATTCTAATGTAGTTAAAGTTGAATTAGCTAAATAGACAAACTATTAGATGTATTATAGTGGACTATTAACTTTTATCTAAGTCTTAAAAACCACCTCTCAATCTCAACACCAAGTGCAAAGTAGATTCCTTTTGGATGTTGTAGTCGGACAATGTTCTTCCATCTTCCAATTGCTTACCGGCAAAGATCAATCTTTGTTGGTCTGGTGGAATACCTTCCTTGTCTTGGATCTTGGATTTGACGTTGTCGATGGTGTCTGATGATTCAACTTCCAAAGTGATGGTCTTACCAGTTAAAGTTTTGACGAAAATCTGCATACCACCTCTCAATCTCAACACCAAGTGCAAAGTAGATTCCTTTTGGATGTTGTAGTCGGACAATGTTCTTCCATCTTCCAATTGCTTACCGGCAAAGATCAATCTTTGTTGGTCTGGTGGAATACCTTCCTTGTCTTGGATCTTGGATTTGACGTTGTCGATGGTGTCTGATGATTCAACTTCCAAAGTGATGGTCTTACCAGTTAAAGTTTTGACGAAAATTTGCATACCACCTCTCAATCTCAACACCAAGTGCAAAGTAGATTCCTTTTGGATGTTGTAGTCGGACAATGTTCTTCCATCTTCCAATTGCTTACCGGCAAAGATCAATCTTTGTTGGTCTGGTGGAATACCTTCCTTGTCTTGGATCTTGGATTTGACGTTGTCGATGGTGTCTGATGATTCAACTTCCAAAGTGATGGTCTTACCAGTTAAAGTTTTGACGAAAATCTGCATACCACCTCTCAATCTCAACACCAAGTGCAAAGTAGATTCCTTTTGGATGTTGTAGTCGGACAATGTTCTTCCATCTTCCAATTGCTTACCGGCAAAGATCAATCTTTGTTGGTCTGGTGGAATACCTTCCTTGTCTTGGATCTTGGATTTGACGTTGTCGATGGTGTCTGATGATTCAACTTCCAAAGTGATGGTCTTACCAGTTAAAGTTTTGACGAAAATTTGCATTATGATTTATTTATTTGAATAAGCTGATCTATCTGAATGTATTGAATGTATCGTTGGTTGGTTGTCTTGTAATGGTACTTGTATAAAGTCTTGCTTGTTGAATGTTTGGGTGGCAAAAAAATAGCTACACATGGGCTCGTTATGTTTTCGGTATCTCCCCTTTTTATATTTGCTGAACAAAATTTGTACACGCATACACTACCTCCTGATTTTGGCTGTGTGCGTCAGAGTGTGGTTATCAACTTTTAAATTTCTTTTTTTTTTTTTTTCCTGCGTGTCGTCTAAAATATTTTTGCTGTGAGTGAGTGACGCATTTTCAGTTTCTCCTATTTTGTTAATTTTTTTTTTTTTGTTTTTGTCTCCACTCTAATACTTGCGACATTTAAATTCTTGAATTTCTTTTTTTTTTCCTGCCCCTCTAAGTTTAGCCCTTTGTGAAATTTCGTATTTTACTAAGGCTGAACCATCACCAAAGGTTTGATAAAAATAGTCTAGTTAGAAATAAGTTGTGCTAAACGAGTCACATCGTACGGAGAAACACGGTAGAAACTGCAGAAGTCTTTTAGTGCGTCTCGGAGCCCTTTAGATTGGGCTGATACCGGACGATGTGTTTTTGACAATATTATTGTGGCTCTTTATGCTGATTCTCTAAAGGTGGATCACATCCTTGGCGGACATTTCTTTGCTAGTGTCTGCAACAGCTTACGAGATCACTGTTGTTTTTGCGTTATCGTGATTGTACATGCTGTCTCATTAGTGTTTTCTGTGATATTAGAAGCGTACTTTCATCGCATCAAAAGTCTATGGAAATAGAGCTTATTTTCTCCCATTAATGACATCTGAACCTGTATCAACGTTTCTTTCAGTAGTTGTATGCGCAATTCATTGTTGGCTTTCGTTGAGAACTCTTTGCAACCAAGTATATTTATAGGTTTGCTACTCCTGGCAGTGTAGCCACGCTATTTTGTCAACTATAAAGAGGGGAGAATATTTTCTCCCTGTGTAGTTGAAAACTTCTATCCGGCAAGCACTGTATATAACCGATTGTGGCTCACATTATCAGTCTCCCCTTTGATGGTTCTGTGATGATCTCAAATAATGGCGGGTGAAGTTCTAGTCTAGCAGGCCAGTTACATACAGAGGAAACCAGAAATCAACACCAGCTGTGCTAAGACCTAAGATGGTGGGTCTTTCGCAAATTTACTATTTGCTGTGGCGTGTCCAACTGTAAATATCTTAGACTCGTAGTTGATCGGAAATAACCTTAGAAGTGTCGTGTGTGGCCGAATCTACGAAACTTATGGTCGAGTTACTTTTCAAGCATCGTACTCTACTACGTGGATCACCAGAGATACTGTATTGGTCCGGAGAAAGCTCCTCGCTAGAATACGGTAGTGAGATTCTCTCTAGTGTTATGGTATAAGGCAGAGGTGTGCGTTGTTGTTTGTAGTTTGCTGTTACATTGTGGATAATCGTAACACTCACACGACCACTGTTTTTTTTTTTTTTTTTTTTTTTTTTTTTTTTTTTTTTTTTTTTTTTTTTTTTTTGTGGTTTTTTTTTTTTTTTTTTTTTTTTTTTTTTTTTTTTTTGTCTTTCGTTGTCTTCTTCTTGAGTAGAGCACTAGGTGAAATAATTCGTTTCTTTTGAAATTCCTCTCTCAACCAGTCGACGTCAAGAGCAAACACACTCACTCACTAACCGCACTCACTCATAGAGGTACCGGCTCTACTACTCTCCATCCTACAGTAGAGAGACTGTTACTTTTCATTTTCACATAAATTATAGAGTAAGAAATTGTTTACCAAGCTCAACTATGTTTTAACGTTTTACGTCAAATATTCACAGAAGATTAGCTGTAGAAGTCATCCTAACGTGGTGAATTCTACTCATTGATTGTCCAAAAGCTTATTTACTTGTTTGCAACTAGCAGGAACAGAAGGGGTCCTTATAGCATACTCAGAAAACTACACTCCACTTCAAACTCAACTGATCAACAACCCACATCTTCGTACTCCTGGCGCCATACCCGACTAAACGATTACCATTTTCACCTTCTTTTTCTTTCTTTCTTTTTTTCCCTTTATTTCTTTTTTCATAATGCTGCTATCGCAGGTATTTGACAACGATTTTACTTCAGATCTGGCTTTCCATATTGCTTCGGCAGACTCCCAAAAGTCCAATGAGAAGGGCATCGAACTGCCTATCGAGAACACTACATCAGCTAAATCGATTAGTGACGAAGAACAACCCGATTTTGAGTCAAAGGACAGCTCGCCGTATCATTCAGAAGACCACAAGCCCTCTTTTAATTATGATTTGGAGATTTTCAACTTGTGCAAAGAGTACTTGAACACCAAAAACCACCATGGGTTGGCTTTAATTGCAAGACAAAAGGGAATTCCTCCGTTTCTTCGATTCAAAGTGTGGCCCATTCTTTTGAAATATCATCCGTTTGTGCTAGATCCATTCATACAACCTGACAATGAAATCATCAATGAGTCGAGCGACGTTGAGAGCACCTCAAGCAAGGAAACGTCGTCGTCGTCGTTATCGTCGTTGTCCTCGAAAGGCTATTTCAGCCAATCAGAAAGTGAATACGAAACGAGACCAGAGAGTCGTAAAGATTCAGATGCAAGTACTGAGATTGAAAGAAAGATTAAGAAGGACATTTCGAGATATATTCAACGTCTCTACTACTTGAAATCTCACGATTTGACGGCTACTGAAAAGGAAATCATTCACACATTGGAATGTGCAGTACTCAAGTTTACTTTAAAATGGGCAAAGATCATCAAATATGACACATCTTTATGTTGGATGGCGTTGAACTTGGCAGAATGGTTTCCTCCGTTGCCAAGGACGCCGTGGGTTTTGGTGGGAAGGGATCACTCGCAAAAGGGATCTTCATTGATTGCTAGTGTCGTTGATGACTACTCAAACTACATCGACCATATTCCAGGGTTGGACAAGTACCTTGACGAATTGATCTACAAGAACGAAACGATTTCCAACATGAAGTTTCAAGATGTGTATGAAAGACTTGTTTTGGTGTTGTTGCATTGCCCGGAACCGAAAACAAATATGGCAGTGGACGGCGAGGTTCCCCATTCAAGCGATCAAAAAGATGAGAGAAAACAGCTCAAGGTGAACAAGACTACACTACCAATAACAGGCGGAACTATTGAGCAGAGAGTTTCCTTTTTCATTTTTTGCCTCCGTAAATTGCTACCTGAACTAGCTCAGCATTTCCATGAGGAACAAATTCTATCCAAATTTGGGTGTCTGGACGATGAATGGTTGATATGGTGGCTCAAGTTTTGTGGGACAAAAGTTTGGTCCAAACACGATCGTGGGCGAATTTGGGATTACCTCTTGGGCTGGAGGCTCAAGAACCCTAAACGAAGCTTCAACTATTATTATGAAAAGTTGAACTATGTGAACCGAAACACTTTACAAAAGTTGGGTCCTGATGTATTTTGGACGGTTGGATCTGCTGAAAACGAGAAACCTAATGTTGACCTAAGAAGAAATTCGTTTCGAGATTTGATCAATGAGTTGAACAACGAGCTTCATATTTCAAAATCCGATCTTTCTCTGGCATCATCCCCTAAGTCGCCAAACAAATCCAAAGGCGACAACAACCAACCCAATTTAGCCATTCCTTTTTCAAGAATTGATCCCCACATTTCATTAATATTTATATCTATATCTTTACTCAAGTCAAAGGAGAACACCTTGGTGGAACTCGATCAACATGAAATTAGACAATTTCTATCGAGACTTCCATCCAAGTCATACAAATACAATCAAAAATCGAGAAAGCGATCGAACCAGAGTATGAACTCGTCATCGAACTCGAGAAATGGCTCTCCGCCCTTGCCACCGAATGAAGAAGCTCCTACGAGTAGCATCATCATATCTAATGACATGCGAAACGACAAACACAAGATAAACTTTATCGACAATATTATTTCGGAGGCGGGTGAGTTGTGGCGAAAATGGTTGTGGTCAGAGTTTGTTGAAGATAGTTAAAAAAAACGATCAATTTTTTCTTTTTTTATTTTTTTTTTATTTGCAAGCGATGTAGAATCTCTCACAAAACAGAAAAAAAAAAAAAAAAATGAAGAATTGAGTAAGACTTGCGATGCGATGCCATGCCAATTATTTCACCTCAGCACCACACCATGTCCGAACAAGAAACCAAGAAGAGGAAAGGAGATTCACTTGATGAGTTGGAAATTGACTTGAATGCGTCTGTACCGTTGTCCAAAAAGCAAAAGCGTTTAGCTAAGAAGGGGAAATTGGAAGAAGAACCAGCGCCAAAAGTGTCCACAGTACAAGAGTCTGAGCAAAAACAAGAGAAATCTAAGTACGGCGTGTGGATAGGAAATTTGTCATTCGACACTAGCAAGGAAGATCTTGTGAGATTTTTGGTGGCCAAGTCATCCATACCGGAAGAAGACCTTACCAGAGTGAACATTCCCAAGAGGGGAAACCAGATCAAAGGTTTTGCGTATGTGGATGTAAGGAATGAAGAACAAGTTGAGAAATTGGTGGCTTTGAGTGAACAGAATTTAAACGGGCGCAACTTGCTAATCAAGAGTGCCACTTCCTTTGAAGGTCGTCCAGAAAAAGACAACGAGTCAAAGTTACCACCAAGCCGGATCTTGTTTGTCGGTAATTTGAGTTTTGATACAACTGAAGACAATTTGAAGGAGCACTTTCAACACTGTGGAGACATTGTTAGGATCAGAATGGCTACGTTTCAAGATACCGGGAAATGTAAAGGCTTTGCCTTTGTAGATTTCAAGAATGAAGAGGGTGCTGTTACGGCCATGAAATCAAAGCTCGCAAAAACCATGTTGAACAGAAAATTGAGATTAGAGTATGGGGAAGATAGATCAAAGAGGAGACCAAAGAGCCATGTACGTGAAGATGTACCACAGGCACGGGATGCTACTCCTGATACTCCCGAAATAAAACCACAGAGAAAGCAATATAGAGAAAGGCCGCAGGACAAGCTTGCAGTCAGAGAAAAGTCGTCAGTTGCTTTAGCAAGTGCTCAAAGAGCTAGTGCTGCTATTGTTCCATCTTCAGGTAAAAAAATCAAATTCGACTAAACACACAAATATAAAAATTAAAGAAAAAAAAAGAAGAAAAAAATATAATAGTACTCAAAAGATCTTACCAAGAAGGTTAACTTTCTTCTCCTTTTCCTTGTGCTTCGTGTAATCCTCTTCGCTTACTGACAAGTAATTTGGATCGTTCTTGTTTGCTTCAAACTCAGCGTCAGACACAACCTCGTACACCGATTGGACTTCCCATGAGGCGTCATCTCTACGTGGCTGCTCTTTAGCACCAGCTGCAGTAGCGGCGGCAGGCCTGTGAAAGTCCTTCGATTCAATGTCATTTGCATTCACACCACCAACGGTTTGACTTTCTCCCTTGGGAATGACACGAGCTGATCCTGTTTTGTTTTCGGAATCGTTTGCATTGACTCCACCGATGGTGTCGTCTCCTCTTGGTGCGACGCCAATGGTGTTTTCCTTGTTGGTGGCAACAGTGGGTTTGCTGTCTTTTGACACACCAACAGCCTTGGATTTGTCAGTGGGAACTTGCTCTTTCTTTTCAATAGGAGTCTTGTCTCTGGAAAGTCTTCTGCCCCATCCTTTAAATCTGTCGGAGAGACTGTTTGATCTTTCTTTGGCCAAGGAAGCCGATTTGTCAGATGGGATGCCACTTGCTGTGCCACTTGCTGCGCCAATTGCAGCACCAGATCCAGCACCAACGGCACCACCTACAATAGCGGCAGACCCTAAGCCTGACTTGCTCTTTGAATCTTTCTTTTCATCTTTCTCAAAATTTGGGACAGACTTGTCGGCATCATGAATAGCGCCTTTCTTGTTCAAGTCGTAGTCGGCACCAGGATTTTCTTTTGCGCTTGGCAATTTGGATTGCTTGTCAATTAAATCCTGACCAAACGCAGTGCCGGCAGCAGCACCGGTACCAGAAGAGACCAAATTCTTGCTCGATTTTGGCTCCTCGGCTACTGCCCGCTCATTTAAAGAAGGTTGAGCTTGCTTGTTTTCAATCTTTTTGATAGCCTTTTGTCTCTCCTTGATCAATTTGTCAAGCTCATCGGATTTGGGATCATCTCCAGTGTAAGTAGATCTTTCTTCTCTCAACTGCTTAATCTTTTGCAAATTTGTGATTTCATCATTTAATCTGCCCTTTTGAGCTTCGTGGTACTCAGATTCGCCACCAGCAAAAGATCCCTTTTGGTAGAGGGAATCATGCTTATTTCTTTCCTCTTCCAAGTCCCTTTGCTTTGCTTCCTTTTGCTTAAGCTTCTCGGCAACGTTGGCTTGTTTTTGCTCCCTTTCCTTCTTCTCTTTGGCCTTTGCTTCCTCCTCGGCCCTTTTTTGTCTCTCTTCTTCCTCGAGCTTAGCCTGTCTTTCCCTCTCCTCGGCTTCTAATTTCTCCTGCTTCTTTCTCTCTTCTTCTTCCAACTTGGCTTGTCTCTCTTGCTCCTCCTTTTCAAGTCTTTCTTGTTCCTCCTTTTGTCTCTGTCTTTCCAACTCCTCTTGGTGCTTTCTCGTTTCATACTCTTGACTTGCGTGAGCCCTTTGACGTTCATGCTCTCTTGCAGCTTCCTCTGCAAGTTGATCCTTTTCCCTTTGCCAAGAAATATGTTTATTCTTGGCCTCGGTGAGTCTCTCGGTCCTGTTTGGTTTGTCTGAGTTGATGTCGCTCAATTTAGCAGCAAAAGCACCCAACAAAGCCCCCAAAGCTCCAACTTCAGCAACCAATCCCTTGTGTGTGGTTTTCTTGTCGTCGATGTCCTTTTGATAACCTCCGATCTTGTCATTCAACTCTTTGCTTTGGTTTTGGTTCACTTCAATAGCTTCTTGATGAGATTCATGTTGAGCAGTCAAGTCCTTCAATCTGGCTTTTTCCTCCTCCAACTTTTGCTTCAATCTTTCGATCTCAGTATCCAATTCAGAATTCTTTTCAGTCAAATCTGTTTTCTTCTGCTTCAAGTCTTGGATTTCTTGAGTGGCCTTTTCCTGCTCTGCTTTGGAGCCCTCCAATTCTTGCTTCTTAGTTGCAAGCAATTCTTCGTGGTTCTTTTCGAGAGTTTCCTTATCAGTAACGTGCTTTTCAGAGGCCTTGGTCTCACGTTCCTCATACTCGTTTGCTGCAGTTTCAATTTCCGCCTTTGTCTTTTCCTCAAACTTGGCAGCATTCTCATCCGAGGTCTTTACTAAATTGGCAATGTTTGCCAACTTGCGCTCAATTTCCTGGTCAATGGCGTCCTTTCTTTTGCTCACCTTTGCAGCGTACTTGTCAAAATCAGATTTCAATTTACCCTCGTGCTTCTTGACTTTTTCGTCCAACAACTGCTGTCTCTTGATTTCATCCTCCTGTCTTGTTTTCGAAACTTCATCGTTGATTGAGGTGATGACTGGTGCGACTCTTTTCGCTGCCATATCCAACAACTGCTCTTGTGTTAACCTCAACCCAGAACCCAACTCAATGACCTTTTTGGGATCATCCAAATCATTTGCAAGTGATCCAATGGCGGTAGCATTAAGCTCCTGGTAATGTCTCAACAAAACTGGCTTATCTTTCAATTTATCCAAAATTTCCTGGTTTGGTCTTTCAACGGGCTCATACTTTGTTTGAGCAGGAACATCTACATCAACCGGGTTTTCTTTGATCTGGTCGACGATTTCATCGTCACCTTCCAAATGCTCTTGAGCAAGGTCTTCTTCTTCTTGACTCACCTTTTTGGCATCTGCAAGATCTTTGTCTGATGCTTTAAGTGCCTCTTTTGCCTCGGCCTCTGGAGACTTGACTGCATCCTGATCCTCTTCCTTGAGCAATGTTTCTCTGGACTCATTAGTGAGTTTTCTTTCCAACCCCTCATCTGTGGCAGACTTTTCTTGGGCATTTTCAGACTGTTTTTGAGATCCGGTTTCATCGGTGGTTGCCTTCTCCTTTTGCTCAGTGGAAGGGACGTCGTTGGTTGTATTTTTTTCATATTGCTGTTCAAACTTTTGCTCAATGGAAAGACCCTTGGTGGTTGGTTTTTCCTCGAATTGTTTTTCAAACTTTTCCTCAATGGAAGGCCCTTCGTTGGTTGGTTTTTCCTCGAATTGTTTTTCAAACTTTTCCTCAATGGAAAGACCCTCGGTGGTGGCCGTTCCCTTAGATTCAGGAAGTTTCTCAGTGGCAGATTCATCAGTAATCAATTTCTCCTTGCTATTGTCCTCGAGTTTTTTTTCTTCTGACTCAGTCTTGTCACCTGTTGCACTCTTGTCCTTTGACTCTGTGGTCGTTTTTGCTGACTTTGGTGCTTTGGCCTGCTTTTTCTTCTTTCTTTCTTCTGCCTCTAAAGTTGGATGATGAGCAAACTTTGCAGGGACCTTGATGTGCTCCACTTTGTTATCCTCTTTGAATTGCTTGTACAAATTGACCTTTTTCTTGGAGCTGGTGCCCTCTTCCTCGCCTGGTTGACTTCTGAAGGGAGAAACCCAAGTGGAGGCACTTGTCAATTGCTTCAATCTGCTTTGAGGAGGCTGCTTCTTAGCAGAAGCTGAGCTCGCTGCTGTGGACTCTGACATGACGAATCCAGTGTCTCTGCTGTATAGTGTGTGTACGGAGAAGAAAAAAGTGACTGTAGCAATTGAGATTTTTCTCGAAATTTGGAAGAGAGAGAGAGAGAGAGAGAGATTGTTGAACGGTTTTTGAGTGACGTTTTGGGAGAAAAGATTCTTTCTTAACCACAAAGCTCTCACGCACAATAACAACCATATAAGACTAATAGAAGACTAATTAATGAAAAATAATAGAGAGTTAAACTGTGGATGGAGGGAATTGCTATTGACCGAAAGGTTGACCGAAAAACAGATCTTTATACGAGAAATGTCTTCTTCATGGTGTCGTAAAGAGGAGCACCTGAGTTTAGGATGCTCTCGTGGATATAACAAGGGGCCCTTGCCCTTTCTGGTGATACCATCAATTTTACTAGCCTTGAGACAGGAAACTTCAAATCGAAGTAAATGATGATATTAATTCTCTGTTGCTTCACAGTTACACAAACCTGCATGATTGCTTTATTTTTGTTTTGTTCTTTACCCAATTAGGACATCTATTTTCCCAATTGGGAAATATGCTAGCTCTAAAAAATAGAATGTATGAAGCGCAAAGTTCGAGCTCTTGCTTTGCACGTGCACATATACTTCCACGGTCTTATCAGGGAAAATGGTCAGCGCTTGGCTCTACTATCTTTTTCAAAAAGCGAGATCCGTATAGTACGACGTGTAAGTAGCAAACATTCCTGAAGGTTATGTGTTCTCAGGTACCAAAACGTCGTCACTGCGTTGCAGCGAAAACGTCTAGTCTCTCTCTCAGAATAACGAGGTTGTATAAGCATACATTTGGTGCACGGAGGTGTAGGTGGTGTATTGTCATTACTTATCAATCGTCAGCCGCAGTAGTTTGGCACTGAAATTTTTTTTGATTGTTTTTTTTTTCTTGTTTTTTTTTTGTCATTCGTGTTAACAAATCAGTCCCCCTTCACATCCATCCCCTATGCAAGAGCTAACACATACACAACCGGCAATCACATTTGATGATTACGTGCACTATGCGGCCCCCAAGTCCTCAAACATAAGGACAGTGTTCTCACCTGCTGCCGTGACTTTGGGAAGAAATGCGTTTGATCGCAATGGAGACCAAATATCTGATCTCGAAATAGTTTCCTGCAATGGTGATCGAATACCGGTATCGATGGCCGTGTTGATTGATCGATGGGGAAAGTACTTTGTCACGCTACTCTCAAGGGGCTACGTTCGGGCGGTGGAAGATTTCGAATCAGAAAAGAATAAAGAACTGAAGTCAAAGGCTATGACTACATTGAAAAAAGCCGATGTACCCCGCTTTAGAATCCCATTCCAAGAGTCAACTGAATCTTTGGGCACCCACGCTACAAAATTGAAACAGAAATCCATTTCCTCGATGTCAACTGAATCACAAACTTCAAGAGATAATTCGAGAGTTGAAGGTCGCAGAGACTCAATACCCCAGCACACCGACTTGTTCATTTCTCATATTGATGATGTGCCACCTCAGCTACCGCCTCCCAATGAACCAATTCCCCCAGTTCCGTCTGTGCCAGTGTCTTTCAAGCCTTCCTCACGAAAAGGATCACAAGATGCAAGTTCCCCAAGGGCATCATTGATGAATACATTATCTGTCTTGAGAAACATTCCCTCAACGAAATCACCTAGAGAATCACCATTCTCATCCCCCCGTGCATCATTGTCAGCGTCCAGCTCCAACTTGAGTGAATTACGCAGCTCTCCATTTCCAAACCTCCGACCCAACATAGGAAGATCAACTTCTGATCTCAAGTTATCCTCGATTGATTCAGGGGTGGAAGTCAAGTCCAAGGAAAATGAAACTGGGAGCAGTGCAGGTCATGTGTCAACAGAAGAAGAAGATGATGAAGAAGGAGCTGATGAAGACTACCACCCCCTATTTGCATTTGAGGAGGAACGATTCCCACTTGAGCCGTCATTGATACCGCGCAAGCTATACATGCCGTTTTCAACCACCACAGTCAAAGCATTTTGCGAATTCTTTTACACTGGACAAGTTGGCAACAAATGGGTTCTTGCACCTACACTATTGGACAACTTGATCATATCAAAGTTTTACAGGGTACCGTTGCTATACGATTTGATCTGCGAGGTGTTGATTGATGTCATACGACGGAAAGAAAGCGCGATGCACAAGTCTGAGGAGTATTCCCAGGTTATTGAATCCATTGAGAATGGTGTCATTAGCAAGAAGTGGTTGAGAGAAATTTGCGACGACTATGACGATGAACTGAATGACGATACTTTGGCATACTTGGATGTTGAAGATGTAAATGCGCCAGCAACCACCACCAGATTCAAGTCGGTTTTTGATCGGCCAATGATGCCAATTGACGCTAAAAGCGAGGAGGCAAGTGACACTGCAAACAAGATAAATACAATGACAGTAGAGGACTTGGTTAACCCGGATTCTCCGTGTCCATCTGACGAGGTGATTGAGGTGATTCACGAGGCAGCGCTATTGGTCACAGAGATGAGGATCGTTTTGAGAACGACAATGTTGATGAAGCTACAGAGGAGCAGGTAGTATCTACGATGAAATTTGCTTCTTGAAATTAAAACAAATGAACAGAGTTGGTGTTGAGTCCGCAGATTAGCTGTCCAAAAAAATGAGTTGGATACACTTCCGCACTGTGACTCCCTTGAGTGAGGATGTACTGAGATTGAATTTTTGGTATCGACGTCTCTATATTCAGTTCTCAAAACGCACAAATAGTATTTTCGGTCTAAGTGGCGTATCACAAAAAGTAGTTCCATTTCAGTCTAGTGTGGACTTTTATATTTCGAATCTTTTTTTTTTTTTCCTACAATTGCATACTACAAATCATTCATCGCCAACTTCTTTGTCATTTCAAATGGAGATACCTTCCAACATTACCCTGTCTACTGTGGACCCAGTTCTGATTCTACACAAGGTTGAAAATTTGAGCCAGGGTAGACGACAAGCCATAATTTTTGGCATCGTGGGAGTTGTGGCATTCACCTCGTATGGAGCTGTTAACTTACATTGGTCAAGACGGAGTAGAAGAATACAGAGGGACTTAGAGCTTCAAGAATACAATGATTACAGAAAATTGTGTCACAACGCAGAGCTTCAAGTTATAGGAGCCAAAAGGGAAATATTAACACGTGAATTATCACGCCTCCCCGGACCTGTGAGAGTACACGAAACTGCTGGCGCATTAGCTAATATTGGAGAGATGTTGGAGATGGTATCAACTAACATGACCTACATAAAACGGCCACTGCAGCAACAAAATGGCAATTCCTTCGAGCCGACGCTCCCCTTTGAAAGTCGGAATCCGCGTGAGCGCTATTGGAAGAGGTTAAAGAAGCTGCTGTGTTTAATACTCTCACTGGTCACTATATTGTTGATTGTGCTTGAAATAATCTCAGGTGTTGTTTAATAATCAATACAGTTCTTATCGGTAAGTATGGTGGTAAGTAGTAATGGCTTACATTGTAAGTTGCAAGTGTAATCAACTGGTGAACCACGTTGAGAACCTTGTATTAAATTCTACAGAACAACTAGATTTCAGGGTGCTATAGCTTCTAGACGCACTGATTGGGCCACTGATGTAGCATATTGAACCAACACTGCCACCCTCGACTCGTAACCTTCTTCCTT